ACGTAGCCACAACATTGCCTGGACTCGTACTTCATAATAAGGGGGTTAGAGTATCATCGCATGAATACGTAGTTACAACATTGCCTGAACTCGTAATTCATCACCTACAGGTTATGAGCATGCTGGTATTTCCACGGGGTTGTCTATAATAGTCCGTGGTCGCCATCTATACTCTGGTAGATGACTACATCTCCAAATTGTCGGACGAGGTTGTAGTATCCTACATCACCGATTCATAATCACATATCTATCCTCACCTAATTATCATCACCTTCCTATCACCACTTATCTCTCATTATTTTATTTCATCATACACCAACTATTTCATCTATCCATGTTTTATCCCAACATATTTGTAGATATAAAATAAATATACACTTTAAATCATTTAAAACATGTATAAATCATTCATCCAGCATAGACAACAAGTATTCAGATAATATGCACACATAACACGTAATTTATGTAAAATACTTCATATCTATGTGTAAGATGAAAGTAACTATGCACTCACCTGAAAGGTGGTGATTCAACACTCGGACAACGCTTCGATACTCTCAAAACGATTTCCCTTTGATAAAACCTAGTACCAACACCACTAGGGTTTAGTCTAACGATAACCGCGGCAAATTAATAGTCTGACTATTATTATCATTATATAAGCGTTAAATAACACTCAATATAACTCATAATAATAACCCAAATAATTATTTTGAAGGACCTAATAACATTCCTATAATTATTTGAAAGCTATATTAAAAATTGCGTAAGCATAGCACACTTACAACGAATTTTATCGAAAACCGGAACTTATTTGGAGCAGCGTTTCGAAACCGAAAGACTCTTTTTCTCAGGATTTCGGGAGCCTCGGGGCTTCCTTAGGGTGCTAGGGGATCACCTAGGCTTAGGAGAGGGTTAAAACCCTTAGAGAGAGAAAGATTGTAGAGAGAGAATGAGAAAATGTGTGAAAAATCCTGAGACCCTCACCCGCTTTTATAGTCTGCGAGCCTCGGACGTACGCTGGGCGTAGTCTCGGATAGGGTTACCCTAATAACATTCCTATAATTATTTGAAAGCTATATTAAAAATTGCGTAAGCGTAGCACACTTACAACAAATTTTATCGAAAACCGGAACTTATTTGGAGTAGCGTTTCGAAACCGAAAGACTCTTTTTCTCGGGATTTCGGGAGCCTTAGGGCTTCCTTAGGGTGCTAGGGGATCACCTAGGCTTAGGAGAGGGTTAAAACCCTTAGAGAGAGAAATATTGTAGAGAGAGAATGAGAAAATGTGTGAAAAATCCTGAGACCCTCACCCCCTTTTATAGCCTGCGAGCCTCGGACGTACGCTGGGCGTAGTCTCGGATAGGGTTGCCACCCGGATCCAACTGTCTCGCACTCGTCGGAAGGATAAGACCGGAGGGTACGTTGGGCGTACCGAAATCGGATGCGGGGCGTAGCGAAGGGAGGCATGTTCGAATCCGAAGCATCCTTTGATCAGCGATGGACGACCTACAACGTGCCACGTCATCAACTTCGCAATCAGCTTCGCAAATTAAAGTGCAAACTTTAAAAATTCATAACTTTAGCGTACGAGCTTCGTTTTCGACGTTCTTTATATACACACGAAGGTGGGAACGTACTCTACAACTTTATTTTAGACTCCGTCGGCTAATTTTGACTCGATTTTAAATTTTATATTATTAACAGGCCGGGACAGGATTGGTCCGTTAAATTCTCATAACTTCTTCATTCGACGTCCGTTTTCGCCCATCTTTTTCTCGTTATGCTACTCTTAACGAGATATTCGATTCTCATTTAGGTTGTGTCGGCTAAAAACCGCTCGATCTAATATTCGAATTTCGGGATGTACACTACTAATCCGAAACTTCGAAAAATCATAACTTCTTCATACGAAGTCAGATTTGGGCGTTCTTTTTATCGATGTTATTAGTTTAACATATTATACAACTTTCATTTAGATTGCTAAGGCTAAATCTTGCTCTATCGTAAATTCACTATTTACGCTTCCCGGTATCGTGCCGGTTCTGTCGCGAAATTTCAACGGGTCATAACTTCTTCGTTATAACTCGGATTTCGGCGTTCTTTATATGTACGGAAACCTTGAGACATATTCTAAAACTTGGTTAATATTATTTATTCTAAATAATCCTTTGTCAAAAAGTCGTTTTCGACACTTATTGTCTCTAAATTAACTAGCCCGGATCTACGGGTGTTACACAGCGTTTGACAAAACGCTCCGTTTTGAACAGAAAGCATCGTTCGACACTACAAGCTTTTAGCATTTAGTTTAAACAAAACGCTCCAAATCCAAATGCTACTTCATGTAGCGTTTAACAAAACGCTACAAGCTACAAGCTACCCGCTACAAGTCACCCGCTACCAGCTAATTTTTCCGAACACGCCCTTAAGGATTCTTTTATTAAGAATATATGTTTTGAATTCCCGCTCATTTTCATTCCCAGTAAGATCAATTCATATCCCAAATAATCAGGAAATATTCATTTTATTTTTTTTCCTGTTTGTTTGCTAATCTCTAAAATTGGACTTCTTCATTCTATCCCACAAAATCAAGAATGATTTATCTATGACAGTCTTCAATCCAATATCAATAAATCACAATTGAAATCAAAGTTATCAACAACCCCTTACTATCATTGTTTTATTCTTTTACTTCGTGCTTCGACTCCCCTGTTACACCCATCAATTTAATCTCTCCCCATCTCTACGAAAACACTAGAAATTTCACTGAACCACCATCTTACCTCCACTGCTACACCCATTAATGCCTCTGGTAATCTAAACCAATACCCAAAACACCACAACCAATTTCACCATGCCACATCTCTTCCACCATTGCATGCCTTCCATCACTCCCTGAATTTCTATTGTCGTTTGTGTCACTTCCTTCTCAATATCTTTTACTTCCAATTTGGTTTCCTTCTCAAGCATACGACTACTGAAAAAGACAGAACATAAGCGACAAATGATTACGTTTGAAGGTAAGGTATCTATGTTTCCAAATTTTCATGTAAGGTATTTGTTAGAGATTTTATAAAAAGACGATGTGGACAATGATTCAACATAAGAAACTTGCAATTAGTTGCTTAATTCACTGGATGCCATTTTTATATAAGTAATTATAGTATGAAAGCTAGCTTCAACATGTCTTCTTTAGATCTAACATGATGTGTAATATAATTTGTTACCCTTTATCTAATTCTTTTTTTTTTGTATAGTTAATCTATATTTATATTTAAAGAATGAGTCGGTGAAGGTTAGTATTGTATATGTTCTTTTGCCTTTCCTCCAAACAATTAGTGTGTTTGACATATGAAATTATGTTAATTATGCAACTCTTTCAACATCACTATTGTGGCCTAACAACAGGTTCTTGATTTGAGCTTTACAGATTCAATGGGACGGTAAACATGAGATTTCTACTCATGCTTTAAGTAATTGTTGAAAGAAAGGTGCTCACTGGTGGAGATTTTGAGACCCAAATTGGTAAACTTTCACCTCCGTTAAGCAATTACTTTGTTTTTCTGCACTGTAAATTTTCATAATACAACGTGAAGACACTATGGAGAAATTGGTTAGTTCAAACAATAAGATCCGCCAGCTGGAATCCAACTTTCTCACAAGTAACATGTTTCTTCTGTTGGTAAAAAAGTACGAAAATATTCTAGAACTACTGTTAAGATATATTTTATTTTGGATTCTCATTTATATTTAGTTTTTCTGTGTATTAAGTGGTTTATAATTATACAGTTTGTGATTTTGCATTTACAGAAAGTACAAGAATTTGAAAATGAAACTACCAATTCAGAAAAGAACTTGAATGTGAAAAGGTAAGGCTCAGTGTATAATTTTTAGTTTACTTTCTCTTTATTCTCTTATGCAATTCTGTTGATATTAGACAATGCATCATAATATTTTCTTTGAACCATTTATGAAGGGTTGGATACATGAAAGATACCATGTTCCGGTTTCAAACTTCTTTGTATGAATGACCTTTAGCCTTAATTTTTCAAAGTACATTGATGTTATAGAAGTAAAGGAAAGTAAGATGCATTGATAAATAATTGGAAGTATGATGAAATTTATTTGGACTTATTTTGATTAAATAGTTTTAAATACAAAATAATTTTATTTTTCTGTGGAATTTAAAAACATCAACATGGTTTCAAAAAACAAAGTTTGATGCATGGGATGTGGCTTCAAGATCAAAGAATTAGGTAATATGTATTGTGGAGAATATTGTTCTAGACATTTTTAGATAATTTATTGAAAATTATACTTTAATATGTATTTTTTAGAAAAAAGAAGAAGATGAAACAAAAACTGCAACAATTTAAGAGGATATGCAATATAAAGATAATAAGATACGAAGATTATATATGTAATTTCAAATATAAATTATGCGAAATGACCAAAATAGTGAAATACCATTAATTGATGTTTTAGTAATTTGCTTTTTTTAATAAAAATGTTGTCATCTATTAAAATATCTCATTCATGAAATCATAATTTTGATATTTTTTTTATCTATATAATTTTTTTAAAATACCAACCGTGGTTTCGAAGGTTATAACCTTTTATATATATATAATATATATATATATATATATATATATATATATATATGAAAAAAAAAAACAAATTATAAGTGAAAATTTCTTTCACACTTCTAGTTACCCAAAGCTACACGCAAAGGAAACGTGGAACTGTCAAATGAATCAAACACTATAAACACCTCCTGCCTCGTATTATATTTCAACCAAGAACAAAAACCCACAAAAATCCTATTGCTTCTTTTCTTCTTCCTATTGATTGCAAGCAGCAAGGTAGTCTCATCACCACCGTTCTTAATTCTTTCCTGTAAAAAATCAAACCCAAACACCCATTTAGGTTCCATCTATTTCTGTCAAACATAAAAAAAGGGGAAAATGTGTAATTGCAAGCAGCAAGCCAAACACCCTTCAATCACTGCTGTTGCAGCACCAATCCATTGCCGGCAACGAGAAGAGGAAAAAACGGAAGGTAGGCACCGAAGATCGGCTATCCCCTCCATACCTCCTTTCCCGTTGACCTTCACTACAAACCTTACCATCTGCGGCGATGTTGCTGAGTCGTTTTCCCCATCGCACCCCACACCTCCTCCGGTCGAGCAAAACCCACCGAAGCCCTCACTTGCGACGAATTGCTACTGACCGTACTCCCGTCGGACCTCCTTTGTCCCTCGGACCTTCCCTCGCATCTTTCTCTTCCACTTCGTTTTCACTTCCATTCGCCAACTCCACAGCAACCTCGCTGCTTCTACCTTCTCTTTCTTCGGCGTCGTAGACCCCGAGACGCCTACCTCTTCGCGATCGGCTACGACATCCGGAGTAGTGAACTGCGCGCCTGCGAGCTTCCTTCTCACATCTTCCTTCGTCTACCTTCGTGTGTCTTTCATCGCTTCGTCGTATCTCTCTTCCCTTTGCCCGATCAAACGAGAGACGGGCATATAAGCCCTAATCCCTTTCAACTTCGATTAAATGATCAAACTACCCCCTTATGAAAACATTTATTCGAAATCAGTCCCAAACCCCCCATCGAGTTAATTTATTCAAAATAGTGTTATTTTTAACAAAATAAATCACAATCTTTAAACCATGAATAAAAATAAGTATTAAAGCCCCTTCGTTGGAAATCCTTAACAAAATCAGTCCAATTTTCAAACATAAATTCCATTCAAACCATTTCAGTCCCTCCCTTGATTTATTTAACCAAATCAGACCTACTTTGGTTAATTAAATTACCCAACAGCCCCCGATAGTTTAAATTCATTACAAAACGGTCTCGAAAGTATTTCAAACTTCAAGAAACGTGACGTTGTTTCTCACGTCAAGCTTCCGAATAATAAGCGAACTCCAAGCAACTCGAACTCACGCTTCAAAGGAGAGTGCTTACGACCCATTTTTAATTTTTTTTTTTTTGGGGGGGGGGGGGGATACATCTGGCTATATACTTTGTTTATAAAAATAAATTATCCTTTATGTGAAATTATAGTAAATCTAGTTTATAAAAATGTTATTTAATAATATAACATATTGTTACAAATAAATTAGTATAAACTTTTCGTATATGCATTATGGTTATTTTATTGTGAAATAATTAATCCACACAACAAATGCTACATGATACAACAATATATGATTTTTATGTAAAATTGTATATCATAAAAAGCACGTCACAAAATTTGTAGGATTTTATGGATTCAAGCTATTACTATGCATGTATATTTATATATATATATATATATATATATATATATATATATATATATAAATACATAACGTTTATACATGTACATATATTCATTACTTTGAAACATAAATCTTTATAATATTGAGTACATTACACTTTACATACATACCAAACATACTGTAAGGATCGAAATGTTGTAAAGAGTCGAATAGTGTTTAGTCTATTTCGTATGTAACATATTTGCTAAGTCACTTTCTTACGAAGCTTATTTTTCTTAGACTTAGTATTTTTTGTACTCTCTGTTTCCCTATAAATAGGGACTAAGCTTAGATTTAAAGATACGAGTTTTTCCAACTTCGTTATCAGTTTTGTAATCGAGCTTGTTGAGAGTAATACAAACTTCAAAGTCTTATTTATTTTTTGAGTTCATTACATTGATTATTATTGTTCTTAATCGATTTCTGTAATACAATTCAACTATAATTGGTATCAGAGAAGGAATAAAACTGCATTGATCTGATTTTCATTTTGAATCATCTGATTTTGAGTCATTCTTTTTGTCTCAAAAGTTTCTGCGCTTTTGCATCTGAAAATCACGTATGATCTACAGATTTGATTAGATCTTGCATTCAAATTGTATAATCGAGTGATCGATTATACGTTTCTGATCAATTCGTTTGATCAAATTTCAAATTCATCAAGTTCTCTCTGATTTCTGAATTTTTCTCGTGTGTTCATCAATGGCGAACTTCAATATGAACACAATGACTTCATATTCCCATCTGCTCGGATCATCAACCAAAATTCCAATGCTGATTCCAGAATACTGCTTGAATGGACTGGATGAAGAGTTGTGGAATTGCATCAATGGAACAGTTCAATCTCCATTGAATGTTCAAAACATAGGTTCATCAGGAACTACTTCTGCTGTTGGAGATCAACAAACAAGACTGAAGAACAACGAAAAATGATGCATGAGAGAGTTGAGAGGTGCTTTGCTACCTGTTGTTTACAACTACATTCGTGGTTGTAAAACTGCGAAGGGGATTTGGAATACCTTCAAAGAAAAGTATCAAGGAAGTGAGAAGACTAAGATCAATTCTGTTAAGCAGTGTTTGGTTGAACTGAAGGAGTTTAGAAAAAAGGAAACTGAAACAATTAAAGTCTATTACGATCGTCTGAATGAGTTGATTTACAGGTGCAATCGCTATGAAATTACAAGGTCCTTAATGGAGTATAATCATACTTTTGTTATGGGACTAAAGAAGGAATGGAGGAGTGTTAGTATGATGATCAAAAATCAATAGAGCTTTGACCGTTCATCTCTGAATGATGTATAGAATCAGCTAAAGACACACGAAAGTGAAGTATCTGAAATAATGGAAGAAGCGAAACAGATTTTAGGCGGACCACTAGCTCTGGTTTCGAAAGTGTCTGAGGTGGAATCTGCTGAAAAGGTGAATTCATATGAAGATGGTTTTCTCTTGAATTCGGATGATGAAGCAGTAGCTTTTTACTCGAATAATCGAGTTAAAAAGTTTTTCAAAAAGCCTTTTAATCCTAAGGGAAAGCAGAGTGAGGCGAAAGGAAATTTTATGAAGTTTGGTGTAGAAGAGAAAAAGAAATTTGAAAAGTCTGAGAAGAGTTTAAGGCAGGAAAGAAATTGAAAGGGGATTCTGGTGTAGATTGTCATTATTGTAATGGTGCGAATCACATTGCAGTTGATTTTATGCTTTGAAAGAAAGAGGAAAAGAAGAATAAAGTAAAGGACGAAGCATATTATGTTGAAAAACTGGAGGAAGTTCGTGAGAAGGCCAAGGGATTGTCTCTTGTGGCAAGAAGAGAGAATGAAGATGAAGAAAGTGGCACTTATCAGATTTGGTCATCCGGGTCTGATGATGAGGAGATGAGGCAACCTACTCATGGTGCCATGTTTGCAAGATTTGAGGATGGAGAAGAGGAGATACCTGGACATTTCTTTGTTACAAAGTCAAGTGAAAAATCTCCTATGAAAACTAAGGTACGTTCTATACTCGAATCTTTTAATATTTCTTTACATGCATATGATTCTGAAATAATTGCTTTTGATGATACTGTTGCTTACTTTGATGCTATTGTCGTGTCTACTAGTAACGAGGCAAAGAAACTTAATAATCAATTGCTTGAGTCTCAAAAGTTGCTAGACACGAAACGTTGCAGGGTAGAGTATCGAGAGTTACAATTACGAAATGTCAATAATGATAGAGAGAATCTAGATACAGATGTAAGGATGTTGTTGGCGCAACGTAACATATATTGTAACTCTGCAAAACATTTATATGCCAAGTTAATTGCTTTACATCATTCTTCTGACATTAGCAAAGAACAACATCGTAAACTGTTGCCTTTTCTTGCATTCGAAAGAGAAAAAGTTGATGTCGTGTCATATGATTGTGAAAACACAATAGCTGATTTTAACAAAGTACCAGATGATAGGTTTGCATATGGTGTTGTTAAGATAGATGAGTTTTTAAATGCTGATGAATTGGTTAATGTTGTTAATGAAAGTTTGACAAAAGATGAACAAGTGAAATTTTTGAAAAGAACTGAACATTCGAAACTTGATTCACAACTCAATTTTGCTGATGTCGATGAAAATTCGGATATTCTTAGCGAAATTAGTGAAATTGAAGAAGAAGAAAGTATTGATTGTTCTTAGTTGTCTATCATTAACATCACATCTAAGGTCAAAGGTAAAGAAATTGTTAATGATTCGATGGTTGAGGATGACCTTGGAAAACCCTCTACTTCAATTTTTTTGACTTTGATGATGTGGAAGTTCGAGACAGTCAGACAGATAGTAGTGATGATGAGGAGGACGAAGTTAAAGCTTTGAATGTTTGTAAGACAGAACAGAAAGTATCAACTGAAACTTTAATTCCAAGAGTTATTGTTGAACAGGTGTATGGTGACACGAAATTGTTCGACAAAGTGATTAGTGACAAAGGAGCACATTTTCTGGAAACAAACACAATTGTGTATCCAAATTTTACATGTACTTATAATGTTGTGTTTCCAAATCAAGTGTTTGTCACTATTGGAAATACAGAGAATATAAAGCCAGAATTCAACAAATTGGTCGAAGAAGACAATAAACGTTCATAAGATGAAAGGTTCTTTGCAAATCAAAACACTGTTGAAAACAACCTCACTAAAAATTTGTATGTTTTTCCCAAATAAAAACCAAAACAAAAATGGGTTGTTAAATCTGAAAAAGAAAAAGAAGTTGTTACAAAAGAAGTTGTTGATTCAACTCCAATTGTGAAACTTAATTCAAACGAATTCAAAGTGTTTGTTGATAAGTTTTCAAAAGAACACAAAGTTTCAAAAAGAAAGGCACGAAAGGTAATTTTCTTGGCAAATAGTGTCTAACGAAAAACTCGCTTTAACTAAATCCAAAGTTTTGTCTGAGAAAAACAGTGTTTTGAAAATCCAAATTAACAAATATTCCAAAAAGAAAGAGTTTTCAAAAGCCATATGTAACAGATAAACAAAGAAACACGTCTTTTCATCAACCAATGAATGTAATAGACACCTTTTCAATTAATCAAAAGGTTGCACATTTTCGAAAATTTAATAACATTCGAAAGTATGAAACATCACAAAAGGGTGTGAATGATCGAAAACTTAACAATGTTCGAAAATCAACGAATAGTCAACCAGTTATAAATGAAACTTTCAAATCACCAGTAACATTTACACCACAAAAGCCCAATTTTCCAAATCCTCCAATTGTCACACCCCAAAACCGGAACGACGGAAACGTTCGGGGGTGGAGGACGTCATGTCAAGTTTCACAAGATATGTATATGGTAAGCAAGTAAAGAACAACCAATTCATTTAGAAAGAGAGTGTTTACAATGTGTGTGTTCACAAAACATAGAAGTCATAAACAAATAACAAAACAAGACTTGAAGCTGTAACGCTCCATCTTCTGAATCCCAACATGAGCACCTGTCTAATAGTCTCATGAGAATACAAGTTATTTGAAAGAGTTGATCAGCAATTAAGCTGGTGAGTTCATAAGATTTTAGTGATGTGAGTAAGCTGTAAAAACGTGGTTGAAAATTTATATGTAAAGTACTGTAAGCTGTAAGGTGTTGTTTTGTAAAGGTTGCCTGTTCCTCTAGAAAATCATATATTTCCTACTTAAAATGGGAGTTGAGTAAAATGACACTACAAGCCTTTCTATGCGTAATAAGTCGGTACAAGTTATATATACTTGGAGTAAACAAACAATCGATTGTGCGCATCTGCCCTCAACCCACAACCCAACGGGGTACAGTAAGTAAGGTGAATAACACACATTCCATTAGTTGTTAGATCGTTGTCATATATAACCTTGGTGTATTCACTTGTTACTCATGGAGTTATTTGTAATGGTTCCTTTATATCTAATGGAGAGTTCCTTTTAAGAAAACCTATATTTCTTATAGTAAAATATTGACTATGGTGATTACTTTTATAATAGCTTTGTTTATACTGTTATATATAATTTGGTATCGGGTAGATAGTAGATTGGGTGACCTCGGTGTAAACCCGTATCCAAAAGGAATAGGACGTACAGCGAAGAATACACAACCTATTAGCTGTCGGATATTAGTTTTATATATAAACATGGTGTATAATCTAAGGTGTTATAGAGTTAACTCACTTAAAGTCTTTAAAACT